TTAATCTTGGGGGAGTAAATTATTGAATCAAAACAACAAAATCAGCTGAGTATAATGGTGCATGCCAGCACTCTGAAAGGCTGAGGCAGAAGTATGGGAAAGTTAGCAATTTAGTGAGAACCTGTCTCAAAATGAAAAAAATAAGAAGTGGTCTGATGATGTAGCTCAGTATGAAGGGCCTGGATTCAATCCCCAGTACCAAAAAGAAAAATAAAAGTCAATTGAACAATAAAAAAAACCTGTTTTCCCATCGGCTTGGTATGAAACCTGGGCCTACATCATTGTACTATAAAGGGATTATGGCATTCTGGGAAACTGAGGCAGGGGATCCCAAATTTCAGCCAACCTGGGTAATTTAGAAAATTACTGAGATGTTGTCTCAAAATAAAAAGCAAAAAATTGTCTTGGATTAGAACTCAATACAAAGGCCTGGGATAAATCTCCAGTACTGGAAAAAAAAAAAAAAGAAGATAATCCAAAGGTCATATGAGGAAAGGATATAACCAATGACAAAACTGGAAAAGAAGATATTAGCAAATGAGCAGGTGAACACATTATGCGGGACAGAAAATTACTGAATAGGTGCTGCCTCGCCGAGGCTTCAGCCTCATCCATCCTGCTGCGTGCGGGTGAGGGTGATGACAAAGGCCTAAAGAGGACAATCAAAGGCGAATGATTCTCAGTGCAGAAGCCAGAAAGGGCTCAGGCGTGGGAGGTGCTTCTTATCTCTGAAGGCAGGCTTGTGGGTAAGTTGGGAAGCGTCATTTAAAGTGTTCTAGGAGCTACAAGCCTGTAGACCTGTGCTATCCACTCTGGTTGCCCCTAGTTCCACTTTGACTTGAATTAATTAAAATTAAATAAAATTGAAAACTCCATTGCCCAGCTTTGCTAGTCCCATTTTAAACACTAATGGTTGCTTTATTAGGAGACATTATGGTTTATATCTAGATATCCACCAAAAGACTCATGCTCACAGAGTGGGCCACTACGGGTTTGGGAAGTGATAGCATCATGGGATATGATACCTATCAATGGATTCGCCCACTCATGAGTTTATAGCTAAATGTGATGCTGAGAGAGGAAGCCTGGTTAGAGGAGGTGGGTCACTGGGGCATAGCCCGGAAAGATTTATCTCCCTCCTTTCTGCTGGGGTTTCTTCCCTCTTTCTGCTGCCTGCTACCACACCATTCTCCTCTGCCAAGCCCCTCTGCCATGCTCGCCTGCCTTGGATCCGGTAAAATACCTCCTGAAACTTCTACAAACTGTGAGCTAAGATAAACCTATCCTCCTTTAAGGCTGCCCAGCATTGGGTTCCACAGATGCTACAGTAACTCAGACAGAAGCATAGAACGCTTCCATCATCACAGAACATGTTATAAGACAGAGTTGCATCCACATCTTTGTCCCTTCCATGAGAGTGACATGGTAGCACAGTCCTGCCACAGCGAAGCCTTGTTCAGTGAGCCTTGTTCACTAGTTACCGCATCTGAAATCAGATGGTGTATTTTGTTTCCAAAAGTTCTTAATGCTGAATGAGAGTACAGTTTCCTTTTCAAACCCAATTCTAGAATGCCATCCTCAAAGCTTTGAGCAAAACATATAGAACTGTTCCTTGGGAAAGTGGATTCCCTTGTTAATGAAGAGGAAAATCGTTTTTTGAAGACCCCCAGCAAAATGGTCTTGTTAAGCTCAACCATAGCCCAAAACTCACCAGTCAATGAGATAGTGCTGCAGTTTTTTAATCTGTGTCTTAGTCCCTCACTCATAAATGGAAACAGAAAAAGATCCTAACAGTAGAGAGAAGACTGGCATATACAAAACATACAACAAAGCTAACAAATATGACAGGAAAACTTAGAGAAAGAGATAATTCACAAACCATAGAAAACTTAAAAGCAAACACAATATTCAGTAACTTCAGAGGGATGGCAAGAAGAAACTATAGATTAGGGGAAAAAACTATTAAAAATAATACAGTATAAGAAAGAGTTCTTAGGCATTAAACATTTAGAAATACAAAAGTCAAATTGAAAGGTTGGAAAACTTAAACTAACAATATCTTCCAGAAATTTCCCTCAAGCAAATAATTAAGCAAAAAGAGAATACAGTGTGGAAGGGTGCTGAGAAAAAGAGACAAAGACTGAAGCTAAGAAGAATCATGCCAGATGAACAGTGGTATGCAGAGAGGATAAATGAACGTAAACTACCAAGGAAGTGATGCGGAAAACTTTCTGTGGAACTGAGGACATGAAATTTCAAATCTTACTGAACTTACTGAACATTTGTCCATGAGGGTGAGTACATAACAATATGAACTAAGGTGCCTCATGAAATTTAGGAAGATCAAAGGTAAAATGAAGTAATTTCTAGTAGTGGTCCACATGAGATATTACAACTACAAAGCAATTACACCTTTAATAAAGCACAATTTGTATTCCATTGGTGAGGTGGTTGAAAATGAAAAAAATATTTTAAAGGGAAAGAAAGAAAGACACTAAGCAAACAGAATCAAGAGCAAAGACAATGGATTGAAACTTAAGTGATAATTACACACAAACTGGCATTACCCAGACAGCAAATGCCCCTGTTAGCTTTACGATCCAGTAACTAACACTTCGTCCTGTAAGAAAAAGCAATAGTCAATCTGGGATCCCAGAGTAAGACAGGAACCTTGGAGAGGAGCTCAAGCAGCTCCTACCCAGTAGGGGCCCTTTTTAAAGGAGACTGGAATTCTCTCTGCAAGTCTTTCTATAGGTTAGATCTGTCAGGACCTCAAAAGAGCACCAAACATATAAGTATACAAATCATCATGACTGATATTCAGTGGAAAGTATGAAACAGAGATTTACATTCCACTAATCCCAGCACCTTGGGAGTTTAAGGCAGGAGGACTATAACTTCAAGCCCAGCATGGGGAACCTGGAGACTTAGTGAGATCTTGTCTCTAAATTTTAAAAAAGTGAAAATAAAAAATGGCTGGGGACATATCTCAGTGTGAAAGCCTTGGGTTTAATCCCCAGTTCCACAAAAACAAAATAAAACAAAAAACAGACTTAGACTTCAACTCCAGATAAGAGAATTATCAGAAACAATACTATATACACAGAGAGATACAAACAGGCATGTGCACAATTATCTATATTATGCAAGTCATCCCCTATTTATGATGGTGGTTTGATTTTACAATGATACAAAAGCAATATACACTCATTAGAAACTTCCAGTTTTGAATTTTTATATTTTCTAAGTTAACATTATGAACAAGGGTACTCACTTCATGCTGAGTAGCAGCTGTGAGCCCAGGCTCCCAGTCAGTCATGCAATCACCACAGTGAAGAACTGATCCTAAGTTACTGTGTTGCTAAGTTATGATGTTCAGTTGATCGGGTGCATTAAACACATTGTTGACTTATGATGTTTTCATTTACAAAGGATTTACCCATAATCCTATCTTAAACTGAGGAGCATCTGTTTAGTATGTACACACACACACACACACACACACACACATGCACACACAGGCACACACAGGCACATACAATAATGAGCTGCATAAGGACATCTGGACAAGCCACAGACTACACATATAATAGTGGTTCCATAAATTGACTTAACCTAGTGACATCATAGCTGTCTTCGCTTTTATAAGTAATCTAATAATGTTTACACCATGAAATTACTAACGTGCATTTCTCATTATGTATCCCCATCACTAAGAGATGTCTGGGGATATATGTATCTGTGTATGCATACTTATTTGTGTATGGACATAAATAAAATGGATGAGGAGGAAATAAAAGGAATAAATGGAGCAAAACAAAAGAATTCAAAAATATTTAGGCAATTTTAACTATGAGATAAATAGATTTTAGAAATAAAAACCTATAATCAAAATTAAAAATAGGATAAATGAATAAAACAAGCATGTTCTCAAACTAACAAGACACAAGGAGATGGAAAATATGAGATAAGTTTAAGGAAATAGAAGACAGGATGACAAATTCAGAGTGTACCTTGCTAGAAGCCAAGAAAGAGAATAGTGGCAAAATAAAGAGGAGAGATAGTCTTCAAATATAATAATCTCTTAGGATTATTTGCTGAACTGATAAGACATGAATTCACTAATATAGGAAACAGGATAAATGATTAAAAGCTGCAACAATGTGCAATGCAATGAAACTGTAGAACTCCAAAGACAACTTTTAAGAGTGTACAGAGAGAAAAAAATAGATCTTACAAAGAAATAATGTAACATATACATATGTAGTAATTGTGTTTGTTTTAAGTAATAGTATGATAAACACTTGGGCAGAGTGAGATGCTGTTAACTTCAAAGATACCAGTAATATACTAGTGCTTAATTTGAGTGGTATGCTCAGGAGTACTCAGTTTAACATTATGCTCCATGACTTCTAACACAAAATTATTTTGAGCACATTAAATACTACAAAATAATTTTTGAGAGATGATCCCAAAGGTTCTAAGGGAAGATCAAGAATCAGAATAAGTTGTAGAAACAATCAGAATAAGTTCCTAGAAACAATCAAGTAAATGTATAAATTAAGGCAATAATACTCTGAAATTCCAGGGGTAAATTATTTCCAACCTAGAATTATATACCCAACTAAACTACCAGTCAAGAATGATTGTAATAATTGACAATAAGGGCTCAGGGTGCAACTCAGTGGTAGAGAGCTTACCCTGAGTTCAGTCTCCTGTGTTTGATCCCCAGCACCACAAACACATATATACACACACACACACACACACACATACAAAGATTAGGCATACATGATGTAAAGCAATTTCCCTCCTGTAGTCTATAAAAATTAGGAACTAAACTAAGAAACAGGAAGGTAATGGATTCAGAAAGCCAAAGCAAATCACAGTTTGTCCAAGAAGTTGGCTTGAAGCCCCAGTACAGACTGGAGCAAAGGTATGGGGAGGTATGGAGAAGCCAAAGAGCGTATTTCTAGTAAGTAATTAAACCAACGACTTACCTGATGTATTCAATGACACTATAGAAAGGAATTTTAGCATCTGTAGGAGAAATGCAAAATATATTAGTGACAGGTTCAAAGAAGATAATTTTTAAAAGGCAGCTATTACTAACTATAGATCTTTTTTAAACTGAAGAAAAAAAAAACAAATGCATGATGAGACCACATTGCTGAGCTATAACAAATGTTTATATAGTTAACATAAGACTATATATTGATCAAACTAGAAAATATAACTGTATTGGGAGGTTTGGGAGGGTGATCTGTGAGTACAGGGTGGTATGGAAGAGCTAAATCAAACTTTTGTAATAAACAGTATAACATATATTAGTTGAAAATGAAGCAATTTAAATATGTGTGCTGTGTAGAAATATGAAGCACATATTTCCAAGACTGAGGCAGGATGTTCTGAAGTTTGAACTCAGCCTGGGCAACTTGGTAACTTAGTGAGATCCTGTCTTAAAATTTAAAAATAAGATACAGAAAGGACTGAGGATGTAGCTCAGTGTGAAGGCCTTGGATTCAATTCCTAGAACTGCAAAACCATATGTGTGTGTGTGTGTGCGTGTGTGTGCGTGCGTGTGTGTGTGTGCGTGTGTGTGTGTGCGTGCGTGTGTGTGTATGGACATATTAAAAATACCAGTAAAAATAGCTAACATTGTTGATCACTGTAGCTTCAGGGAACTGGGGTTCAGAAGAAAAAGGACAGTGGAAGACCTCATACTTTTGGTCAAAATCTTTAAGCACAATTTAACATTTAGCACCATGTATATTTTACTTTTTTTTTAAATAAAAAATTAAATGCAATTAAGTTAGTACACAATGGACTGATGTCGAGGAGTCCTTCCAGAAATTTGTTAGAAGTCCAGATATATGCTTAAAGTCCAAGGCAATAATTACTTTCTATCTCTGGGTAGCAGTCAGACATTTTAGTAGCAGTCAGACATATACCTCAGTGAACTCTAGATATACCGTTTTTAATAAATGTTAATAAACCATAGAGCCTATTATTATTACCCTTAATTGTTTGTAGAACTGCATATTTATGGAATTGCATATTACACACCAAGAAGAACTAAGAAAGTGTTCTACAATCCATGGAATTATTTCATTATTGTTAATAACAATCTTCCAGGTTAGTGTGATGGTTAATTTCAACTTGATAGGCTTGGGATCTGTCTGCTGAATTAGTAAAGGATACTTCTGGATGTGTCTGGGTGGGTAATGGGAGCTTGACCTTGGGCTCTATATTCTGATCCCTGGCCCTTTCTCTCTGACACTGTTCCTTTGCTGTTTCCTGGCTGTCATGAGCTAAGTAGCTTTGCTCCATCACATCCTTCTTCCACAGTGCCATGATGTTTGTGCTTAGAGCCAGCCAACTATGGACTGAATCCCTTGAAACCCTAAGCTTAATTAAACCCCTCCTCCTTTAAGCTATGGGTTCTGGTTACTGTATCTCAGTGATGATGAGGGTGACCCATACAAGTAACATTATATTTATTATCTTGTGTATTTCTTTTTTTTTTGGTTTTTCTCCGGTACCAGGAACTGAACTCACGACCTTGCGCTTGCCAGGCAGGCACTTTTGCCGCTGAGCTAAATCCTCAGCCCCTATCTTGTGTATTTCAATGCCTGAGGTCTTCTTTGTTGTAATAATTCTCAAGTGACTTCAAACAGACTTCTCTTTTATTTAACTCCTTCTAGTGGTTATTCTCAGAAGTATTTATCTGATACAAGCTAATATCCCTAGCTGGAAGTGAAAATCCAGAACTGCTTTCTTTTTGTTACCTTGTAGAATTGAACTTGATGAGTCTTATTTTATAGTGAAAAAGAGAGGCAAATTTTATTTCTTCTGTTCATAAATAAGCCTCCATTATAGAGAGTCTTTTGCTATGTGTTGGTACAGGACAGGACAAAAGAACAGTCACCTTCACACAAGACGCAGTAAGGTGTGAGGTGAGCACTCCTGTAGGTTTCACTCCTGATTTGCTGAAAGAGGAAGAACAAGATCTAAGCAAAACCATGCGGCAATATTCCATCATTATTATCTGCCCATTTGATAAGTAGTGTCTTGCTGTCAGCTACATCATAATTTGGGAAAATGTCAGATAAAATAGTCCCTTATTCCCAACTAATATAGGCACTTAATATTGATTTACAAAAGATAGTTGCTATTAACTTATATATTTGATATTGACTTTATAAAATGTGGTGCAATGAAGAGAAACATAAAATTTTTCCGTCATTTTGTCACGATTACCTAGTCTATTAAACTATTTTATGCTGTTGTGAAATTTGTTGAAATACAAAGCGCTAATTCAGGAATGTAAAGTTCATTGATTTCACTTTACTTTTATCTACATATAAATTCAAAGTAAGGGGAAGCTTTTAGATAATTAGTGATACAATTGAATCTCACTAAATTTTGTTTTAAAATATTTTGATGCAGCGGTGTTTTAAAAAATGCATTAAATTTTAGAGCTAGAAAGGATCTTAGATGTCTCTGTATTTCAATCTTTATGAGAGCATGAATACCTGACCCTCAAAATAAATGTCTAATAATACTTTAATTTGTATCTATGGGTACATAGAAACAACTTAATGTTAATTAGGAGAAATAAGCAAAAAATAAAAGGAAGAAATCTGTAATCTGAATTTTTCTTCTCCTTTCCTCCATCTTAGACATCTTGTGGTGTTTCCATGTGTCAGCCAAGCAGGCACAAAAGCTGTCCTCAAGGCATACACAGCCCACTGGCAGATATCTACCCATAAACAAGGGGTTATGTGAACATGCAGAAAGACCAAAAGAATTAATAATTAATTTTGCCCAGGGATCTCAGAAAGGAGTTTGAACCAGAGTTAGCCAATGAAAGGAGACAGGAAGATACTTCTGCTGGAACTATAAAAGTCTACAGCACACTTGGGAAGCGGAAGTTCAGTGTAGAGGCAACAATAAGAAATAAGGCTTCAGACATAGCCTTGGGTTAGATTCTGAAAATTCTAATATGCCATGCAAAGGAATATGAACATTATCTAGACCCAAAGCTTCAAGAATTCTAAAGCAAAGAAGAGAGAAGGTATATTTCAGTTTTTAAGAATGCAAGAGTGCCAGTATTTTAAATTGAAGGTGAAAATGGTTGAGGGAATGCTGGTGGCTGGAAACGTGATCCAATTATCTAGATTAAAGGTAAAGGTGCCTTAAGCAGTGGTTTGTAATTGTGCACATCTGTCTTGAACATCCAAGTACAGAGAAGGATCTGTGTTAAAGACACACACTAGGATGCTCTAATAGATGTAGGGCTGATGGAGAAGAAAACATTTTTGAGCTAAGAAGAATAAGTAGGTCATGATGCCCTTGATTTAGATGAGAAATGGATAAAGTGTAAATATGAAAGGGAAATGATGAGGACTGTCAGCTTCTCATTCATCTTTTCAGTGTGACATTTGGAGAAAAGCTTTGATAATGTGGGCATCTGTAGAAAGGCTTACTGATGCTTCTTTTCTCTTGAGATCCCTGGGAACCATTGCCATAGCTGCTGCCAGATTTTCCTTGCTTTTCTGTGACTTCCATTGACTGGGTATTCTCCACGATCTACAGCACTGGTGATTCAAGGAGAAGCAAGAGGCTCTTGAAAATGCCTTGGACAGGGAGCAAAATTCTTCTCTGAGGCACTTATATTACAAATAACAACTTGTATTTTTGTAAACCACTGCAGTTGCCATGTTGATTAAAATAGTGTTTGACTATAGGTGTTAATTATAGCATCAGTGCAGTCAGTACACCTTAGCAAGGATGGAATTATTTTTCTCATATAAAATAACTCCAAAATTAGGTGGTTGCGGACTGGTTTGCTTTTCAGTGAAGTAATCAAGGCTCTAGGCTACTTTTAGTTTCCTCTTCTATCCACATTGAACTTTTCATTCTTATGGTCTCAAGGTAACTATTTTACCTCTAGATATTATGTCTATGTCCCAGGCAGTAATCAGAAGGGAAAGGGCAAAAGGCATAGGCATGCTGAGTCTGTCCATTTTTAACATTAAAAATAAAACTTTCCCCAGAAGTTCAGCTCAAGACATTTCTTTTCATATCATCTTGCCCAAAATGCATGACCATACCTAAATAGTTGGGATATTAAGTTATGTATTTGCACACATTGCTTTCAAAATAAATTGTGATTTCTAAGGAAGACTATACCTTAAGCATGTATAACCATCTGAGCCTGCCAGTCACCTTTTCCTTTGAAATGTAGACAGTAAATTGCTTTCTTTCCATATAGGCCAGTCTTTAGAGATCATTTTGACATACAAGTACCAAAGATGAAGGAAAAGTAGGGTGAAAGGTGCTAAGGGGAATTAACTGTTTTCTTCCACTGCAAGTGACTTTCTAATAGCTACTTTTTTCTTCCTTCAACTTCCCACTTTCATAGGGGAAATGAAGTGCTTAGGGTTCTAAGATAGCATTGACCCAGAAAAGCTAGGCTTGAAGACACCAGAGCTTGGACCAGTATTATTATTATTATTATTATTTGTCTTTTTGAGACAGGATCTCAATATGCAGCTCAGGCTAGCCTTGAGCTCACTTTGTAGCCCAGGCTGGTCTCGAACTTGCAAGGATCCTCCTGCTTCAGCCTCCCTCGTGCTAGAATTACAGGCATGCACCACCACATCTGGCTGGACCAGTATTATTACAGTAAATGGAGAGAGGGTTAATTTCAACTACTCAGTCTAGAGAAGAGATGAAATGCACTTATGGTAAGCAAAAACAGTCAAAATGCTCTCAGTCCAGGATGGTCTATCCTCATTCTTCATGTGTGTGTGTGTGTGTGTGTGTGTGTGTGTGTGTGTGTATGTGTGTGTGTGTGATGGAGGAGTGATGAAAACAGTGTCTTCCAATGTAGTCTGGTCTGGATTTGAACTTGCTTTGTAATCTAGGCTGACCTCAAACTTGTGATCCTCTTATGCCAGCCTCCTGAGTACTAGGATTAGAGGTATACATTATTTTTATTTTTTATTGATTTTGAGAGTGAGGATTGAACTCAGAC